TACTTCGTCTTATCTACAAACCCATCTCCCTTCCAAAATTTACCCCGGAACTTAGTTCATTAAAACTCCCTCGCCGAATAAAAGAAAAGCGGGCGGAGGCCGGGGCCTAATTTTCGGAGCCCACAACGGACTCAATAAATATACACTGTTAACAAAATTAAGTGCATAAACTTTAACAATTTGAAAGTGATGGTAGCAAATACTCAGTATAATCAGAGTGAGAACTGACCCTACTAGAATTTAATTACAATCTCCATAATTGGTGTTTACTTTTCATTTTTTTACAATGGAAAGAAAGGATCCTAAACTCTTACTGAAAAGTACTAAAGTTAACCAAATCTTCTGATGTTGCTTTTGTAGGGTTGGCTTTTCTTGAATGATCAATGCAATGTTTGCCCATTCCTAAATGCCAAACTTATTGAACTGATTAAATGATCACTCAAGTTTTTTAATTTTTTCTCTCATCCGCCCAATCATTTAAGTCACCGAAAAATATAGTATATGGTGATAAATGAGGGATTGAGCTTTGACCGTACTGAAATTCTTGAAGTATTTTTCAGATATTGTACAACAATTGATTATTTTTCTTGTTATTTTTGTTGTTTTCATTCATGGTCTTGCATTTGATAATGCATAGCATCCTTTGTTATTTTTTTCATTTATACTATGTTAACAATATTTTGAAGTTTTTTTGGTTCTTTTTTAGGAGCCTGTATCAAATAATGCTGAAAGTGGAAAAATTCATCCTCAGTCCATAATTTCATTGTTTGAATCCCAGTGGAGCACTCTGCAAATGGTTGTTTTGAGAGAGATTCTGATGTCCTCTGTTCGTGCTGGGGATCCCCTCGCTGCGTGGAGTGCAGCAGCTCGTCTTCTAAGATCTTTTTATCCCCTCATCACACCTGCAGGACAGAGTGGCCTTGCAAGCTCCCTTGCAAATTCTGCAGACAGACTTCCATCTGGAACACGATGTGCTGATCCGGTTCTTCCTTTCATAAGGCATTCTTTTCCCCTCATCTTCACTGTAGGAATTGTTTAGACATCTCTCAATGTTTTTCTGATTAGCTATGTGCAAATTGTTGCCCGTTTGATTTTCTGTTGGTTTAAACATTTCGTATTACGCAATCATTCAGCTTACAATTTACTTTTTTGGAGCCTTTCTCTACATATGTCTACATTCTCTGTGTTGAAGAGTATTTTATGAAGTAATTTGCACATAGGTAATTAAATAAAGTGAAGCTAACACCCCCAAGGTGGAGGAGGTGGGGCGTATATATGGGAAGTGGGGGTGGGGGGTGTTGTGAGGAGATTGGAGAGAAATAATGCGATAGAGAAATACAAAGATACTTGGAGTTTGACACTTGGAGTTTGATTCGATGTCAGTTGCCAGCATAGGGAATATGGTAGGTGATGTGAAACGGAATCGGAATTGCTCGAAAATAATAAATAATCGCTTAACTAGCCAATATAAAGATTAACATTTCATAGATTTAGGAATCCTTAGTTGCAAAGTTGCTTAGGCAATAGTACATGCTTTGAAGACAGGACAATTCAGAACAACATATAAGTAAAACCAAGTGTGCTTAACAAAAATCCACGGGTTAATATTTAGATAATTCACCTTGAGTTTCCCTCACTCAAGCTCTTTTTAGGGTTTGTGGAAGAAAGATATCAGAATTACCGATGTGGTCACCACAAGGAGGAGCGAGCTTACAATACCATCCAAGAGAAAGCTAGCCAGAGTAGGAGTAGGTGGAGGATGTAGGATTTGCCACCGGATTGGAAGGTAGAAGTCGTTGATGGCGGTTGATAGGAAAAATAGTATTCACTCCACGTACTCTTCAACGGTTGCGTCAATCTCCATGTTGATGTCAAAGAACAGCAATCTCAAGACGTCTACGCACCCTTGGGAGTCAAAGAAGGACCCATGGTCAACGTCCGGGTTGGCCATGCATGATTGTCCAAAGAGGGAAAATTGAGAGTGAGAGAGGAGGGGGCAGGTAGGGTTCGGCCAAGCAATGGGGGTGGGGAAGGGGAATGAGGATGGGACTTGAATTCTAGAGTTTGGTGGTTGAGGAAGATTAAGATTAAATATGAAATTTATTTCAGATTTAATGGATAATTAGGGATATGTTTATTTGAAATTTGAATTTGAAATAATTGGGAAATTAGGAGGTAAAGTGGGGAGAGGGTTGTATTAATTAGATCCTTAATTCATGGGATCTAATTAATTAGAGAGGGGAGGGGGGAGTGGCCGGCCAAGGAGAGAAGGGGGAGAGAGGGGTTAGGTATTAAGGAGGTGGTCCCAAGAAATTAAGGGGATTGATTACTTAAATCTGAAATTAATTTTGGATTTAAGTTAATTGGGGTTTACCTAAATTGAAGGAGGGGAATTTAAGAAGAGTTTGAAATTCAAATATTTTGAATTTGAATTTAGTTCTCTCCCTAAATTAGTGGGGCTAAATTAAGAAAGCATTTATGGTGGATTGAAATTCAAAAGTTTGGAGGGAATTATGTGGCCAGTGGCTATGGTGGGGGAGAAGGATGTGGCCGGCGGCTTTAGGTGGTGGAGATAGGGGCTAGCGGGTGGAGGGAGCCTGGCGGGTTTCCGTCCAGCTTGAGTTGGGTGTTGGGAGCCGACGGGTGGTGGGAAGGGGGAGGGGAAATGGTGCCGTCGGTTAGGGGAGATGGGTAGGGGGTGTGAGTGTTGTCAGTTTGGGAGGAAAGGGACTGGTCAGCAGGCGGGTATGGGAGGAGAAGGGGAAGGAGAAAATAAAAATTGAAAATCAAGAGCTCACCCATTAGTGGGTTGTTGGGTACTTTGTTGGCCTTTCCAAGGCTTCACCACTCTTTCTAGAACTCCAAAATGTAGGAGACAAAAATCTAAATTTTTTTTCATTAGGGTTTAGGATCGGGTGGGCCCAAGGGGCTCACCAATTGTAAGAGGGAGTTTGTTTTGTTTTCCCTAGGGGTAATTAGGGTATTTTGGGGGGATCATGTGAGGGTTAAAGGGAGTTAAGGTTTGTTTTGGAGGGATCTTGTTTTTGTGGCTGTTTTAGGTTTTTCTAATCTAGGGCTTGGG